TTAACCACTTTCAGTTCATTGCAGAGCACAAGGGGGCACTCTTTAAGTCTAGAGAAAAATAAATTTAATCTTCATATATGAAAAGGCTTTTTCACAGTAAAAGCTGTGAAAATGTGAAATAGAATCCCTCAAGAGCTGGTTTTGACCAGTTCAGTATATTGTTTAAAAAAAAGAGCTTTATGCACACCTTAATGCACAAAATATAACTGGATATTAATTTTTAGAGGTAGTAACGTCAGGGGTAGTTGATGCAGGGAATATCCAATTGCCTCCTGGGGGATCAGGAAGCAATTTTTTCCCCCACAGGAGCGAACTAGATCATGCTTTACTGGGGTTTTTTTGCCTTCCTGTTGATCAAATATGGGTATAGGATTGTGTATATGGAAGCTTTCTGTTTATGTTTTTTTCAACCTAATTATGTAACAGTGTATAGGAGGACAGCCTTCTTTACTCTGCATGTGTGCAGGCTGTACTTAGTACTGTTTCACTCTGCCAATGCATTTCTATCCGTTTCATCAGAACGATTGAAAGCAGTATTTGACTAGCTTGGATGGGAATTCAGTACCTGACTAACATACTATACATATGAATACAACCAACTGCAGAAAAAGGAAAGGTTGCATACTATGGCCACTAAAAGCTTATTTTCTTTATTCCAGAGCAGAATGGGATACAAAGTAAAGCTTTGGCACTTTTCCCACAGTACTCAGCACTTTGTCAAAGGGCATATAATGAAGAATAACATCTCAGCGTTTAAATTCACTGCTTAATTAAACAGATAATGTATACTACCGCTCTATTAACTCATTACAATATATGCTTAAAAAACACATAACAAGGTGAATTTTGGCAACCCCATACTTTTCCAGTACAGTATATAAAACTACTAAAATGATGACTACTTATATTTTCTTTTTATACATAACAGCCAATCTAAAACTGTAAATGCTTTTCCAGGGTCATGTAAAGTGCATCTAAAACCTAGAACAAAAATGTAATATACTGAGCTCACCAGTCCTCAAAGCAGAACTCAACCATGTTTGAATGTCCTTCTCCGCCCCTCTTCCGCACCACCATTTTTAAAAAAACTCTGCATGCGCAGGTGTGCCTCAGGTCTCTTCCGGGTATTAGGGAGCTGGGAAAGACCAGCGGTACATCTGCCCATGCGCAGCAAGGTGCTGCGCATACGTACAAATGCTGCCAGCTTCCAGTAAATGGGAACTACAGCACCCTAGTGCAGGGGTGGGCAACTGTGGCCCTCCAGCTGTTGGTGAACTACAAGTCCCATCATGCCTCTGCCTTTGGGAGTCATGCTTGTAACTGTCAGTTTTGCAATGCCTCAAGGGACTTGTAGTTCTACAACAGCTGGAGGGCCACAGTTGCCCACCCCTGCCCTAGGGCATTTGTGTGCATGCATGGAAATCAACCACACATCGCAGATGCACTGCAAGATTGTGGCTTGGTAGCACACTACTTCCTAGGATAGGTGTGACATAGCAGGACAGGACAAATTGCTACCATGTGATTCTGCCCCTAACCCTTAAAAAGAGCCCATCTCCAGGGAATTGAGTTACTGTGGATCTTGTTGCTATAGACATTATCCCTATAGGCAGCACAATGTTTCTTACGTGCCTTACCGTTTCTGAAACTGCTAGAGAAAGTGTAATGTTACTGCAGCACAACAAGTTCTACCTCCTCCTACCTGCCAATTTATGGGAACTGTTTGCACATATTATGAGAAGATTGACGTGAAATGTATTATCCAAGTGCCTCATTTAAAGGAACTTTAACTAAGTGAAAAAGTGGTCAAAGTCTTTTACTTATGGAGTGCTAATATAAGTCAAAGGACCTTATGCGATCTTTGGATTCCTGTGCCAGTTAGCTTCCCTTCTATATAATAACCACATAGGATTGTGTGCCGGACACTGCTGCCATTCACAGAATGCCTTTTATTTTTTCTAATGAATACAGGGAGTTCGTTGCTTGGACAAGTCAAAGAGGTGGGGTGCTTACATCACAATATCCACCTCTACCACTCAGAGAATGCCTTGTATTCATTGCAAAAAATAATGAGTGACTTTTTTTTTATTACTGTGCAGAACAGAACAGACACTCAGTAGAAGAACTGGAAGATTGCTACTATCACTGTAGTGATTTGCACCTTCCACAGTGACCTCTCAGATAACTATGCAATGAAAATCGTACCTAGAGTTTAGCTTTTACAAGCCAAAAAGTGACCTCTCAGATAACTATGCAATGAAAATCGTACCTAGAGTTTAGCTTTTACAAGCCAAAAAGGGAGCAAATAAAACAAGTCTATTATTAAGGTTTACACACTTTAAGCCTTAGGGTCACAAGCTCAAAAATACCTATTTTACAGGTGTTTGACATTTTTTTTCTGCCTCTAAATGCCCCTCCATAATAATCTATGTGTGCACACACAGGCTTTACAGGAGTTTAGAGGCAGGATAAAAAGCATCAATTAAGCATTCAAGAGAGGAGCGTGTAGCTGGCCAGCTAAGACCAGTCCTAGGTTGTTAATATGGTTCACATATATGTGTATACCAAACCTGCCAATAACCTCAGTACAGTATATATGTGCATATGTTAAGGCCAAAAGCAGAATCATTGCTGTAATTTATGTCTTTGATTGTTATATGACATTTATATATTCATTGTGTTAGCAGAAGCAGAAAAGGAAAATATGCCTTTAAGAGTCAGTATAGAGCTGAGCCAATCACAGACAGCCTCACACTGTACAGAGCCTTAACCAATCCCAGCCAGTTTCACATTTATGCCTGTGTAAAACTCCCTGCTAGATTGTTCTAGAGCAGCAATGGGCAAACTACGGCCCGCGGGCCGTATACGGCCCGGCGGACCTTTTAATCTGGCCCGCGGAGCGTGATACATTGGCTGTCAGGATGTGTGTAGGCGGGGCAGCGTGACGAACGTGAGGGGAGCTAGGCTCCTCTCACAGTCCGCCCTGAAGACCGGAACGGCGCGGGAACACGGCGAGAGGAACGCGCGGAGCAAAGGTAAGTGAATTGACACAGGGGGGACTTGGCTTACTACTTGGGGGGGAATAGTACTATGGGGGATGAAATAATATGGGGAATGAATTACTATAGGGGGGATGAATTACTATATGGGGGATGAATTACTATAGGGGGGATGAATTACTATATGGGGGATGAATTACTATGGGGGATGAATTACTATATGGGGGATGAATTACTATGGGGGATGAATTACTATATGGGGGATGAATTACTATGGGGGATTAATTACTATATGGGGGATGAATTACTATGGGGGATGAATTACTATATGGGGGATGAATTACTATATGGGGGATGAATTTCTATGGGGGGATGAATTACTATGGGGGATGAATTACTATATGGGGGATGAATTACTATGGGGGATGAATTACTATGGGGGATGAATTACTATATGGGGGATTAATTACTATGCTTACTATGGGGGAATATTACTATACTTACTATGGATGACACATACACATCATTCATCTACTCTTGGTCCGGCCCCCGGGTCCAATATATGAACCCATTGCGGCCCTCAAGTCAAAAAGTTTGCCCACCCCTGTTCTAGAGACACATGCTCACCAAACAGAAGAGGAAACAGACAAGTTCCAGTCAGAGAAGCTTTATGGAAACAGAGAAGACCAAATAGGTATTTAATGCACTTGTGTGTTCCTCTGTTGTTTAACAGTGCAGGTAGATCTGTATGTAAAAACTGTTGTGTGTGTTTACTTGTAGTTCCACCGACTCTATCGAATCAACCCAGTGTAAAGAAAATATGAATTTATCAAATTTAATAATGAATAATCTAACAAGATAAGTAATCGAATCTATCGAAATAATCTAACGAATCTACCGAATCTATCGAGATAAGCTATCGAATCAAACCACTGTAATACGAATTAAACCACTGTAATACGAATTAAACCACTGTAATATGAAAGAAATAAGCTACTGTAACGAAACAAGCCATTGTAAGCAGTTATATGAAGAAGATTGAAGTTATTAAAGAAGTTAACTAAAGTATTCGGTGTGCTCTTTAAAGCTACTGCATCCATAGAGCGGCATTGGAGGAATTACAGAGTAAAGTCAGTCTAATCAAACAAAGAAAAAGCAATTGCATAATTTTTCTAATGCCACAGCACACAAGGCACCAAAGGGTGCTGCACCTGCCACAGAGCGTTTTGGAAGAAAAAAAATGCCAAAATATGCTTAAATAGGTTTAGTGCTTGTGTTTTTTTTCATTTCAATAGTAAGAATAAATTATTTTTCTAGCCAATTAAATTTAAAAATGCCCAAGCACTTGGCATGTCTAAACACATTTGCAAAAACATGGCTTAGGCAGCCCATAGATGATTCGATTTACTTTCTTTCCACCTTGGGTGCAAGGAAAGAAAATCACTTGATTCCCCCATCAACACAATGAGTATTGATGGTGGAATGCTTCTTTCAATGCTATTGTGTTCTGCCAGCAAGGAGCCTTCCTGGCCAACAGAACACAATGATTACTGCTAGCGGCTATGTAAAAAAATCTGACAGGCTGTTTGCACCCAAGTCGTTTGATGGATTGACTTAGGTGCAATCTGCCTGCCCATACATGGGTCAAAACTCAGCCAGTCCCAGCTGAGCTGACCAAATTTCGATCCATCCATGCCCACCATTAGGTACAATGTGAAGCTGCTTTTCTCCTGCTAGGAGAAAAGCATTTACAAAAGCCTCAGTGTGCAGGTTACTTAAAGTGTTACTAAACCCAAAACAGTAAAATCAGTCTGTATATGCAATAAAGCATGCTTGTTATACTCACTGTGGAACCTAAGGGGTTAATCCTCTGCATTGTGTAAAAAGGCCATTTGAACCTGTTTTTTCTGCCCCTCCTCTTGTTCAGATGTCCACCTGATAAGACAGACTGAACCCGTAGCCACATGCACAGTGCTCAGTTTAGTATGTATTGCTGGATAGGTTTTTTTTTCTTTGGAGAGTGCATGTGATCAGCACAGGGCCAATAAGCACTGTCCACACAGAGGGTCAGGGGTTTTGCATCCTCCTAGAGCAGAAAGAAAGCTCCTCCTAAAAGCTTTAACCAGTGCTCTCCTGAAGTCACAAGACTGCTCTAACTGCTGATAAGAAAAGGTATTTAGTTTATATTTACTAATATAATCGCACTTCCATGTTGTGTGTACTGTGGGAGATCAGATAGAGTGAATGCAGGGTCCTGAGTTTAGTAACACTTTAAAGTGTTACTAAACCCAGGACATACCTCTCAACTTTCTAAGATGGGAATGTGGGACACCTGTAATCAAAAGTATGCATTCATAGGACACACACCCTTCCATCAATTACAAGGAGAATTAAAACGCCAAAAATAATTGGTTACTCACAAGTGCTTTTTTACCACTGATATTGCTTTATATTGGCTCAGATCAAAATGAGGGACACATTAGGAGGAAAGAGGGACAGAGGGACTTTGTTCCAAATGAGGTACAGTCCCTTGAAATCATGGACAGTTGGGAGATATGCCAGGACCCTGCATTCACTATATCTAGTCTCCCACAGTACAGAACATGGAAGTGCAATTACTTTACTAAAAGTAAACTGATAAATACCTTTTCTCATCAGCAGTTAGGGCAGACTTTTATCAGTGTCCAGCTGAGCACTGGTTATACAGTAGCTTGTAGGAGGAGTTTTCATTCTTCTCTGATTGTCCAATGAGGCTGCAGGACCCCTGATCCTCTGTCTGGACAGCTCTGATTGTTCCTGTGCTGATCACATGCACTCTCCCAAGAAAAGAAAAACTCCCTAGCCATACACACTAAACTGAGCATGTGCAGCTTGCTCCCAAGGCTCTGTTCTATCAGCAGATTGATTGGGGACAGTAGAAGGGGAGGATCAAAGAAGATAGGATCAAACAGCTATTTTACACAATGTAGATGATTAACCCCTTAGGTTCCACATTGAGTATAACAAGCATTTTTTACTGCATATACAGACTGATTTTACTGTTGTGGGTTTAGTAACACTTTAACCACTTGCCCTCCTGAAGATTACCCCCCTTAATGACCAGGCATCTTTTTGCTACTCGGTGCTGCACTAATTCAACTGATAATTACGCAGTCATGCAATGCTGCACCCAAATGAAATTTACGTCCTTTTTTTCACAGAAATAGAGCTTTCTTTGATCACCTGTGCGCTTTTTATTTTTCACGCTATAAACAAAAAAGGACCAAAAATTTTGAAGAAAACCGATATTTTTTACTTTCAGCTATACAAAATATATAGTAAACTCAAAGTTAGTTATCAATTTAGGCCAAAATGTATTCTGCTACATGTTTTTGTTAAAACAAAAATCCCAATAAGTGTATATTGATTGCTTTGTGTGAAAGTTATAGTGTCTACAAACTATGGTATAGATACTGCAATTTACGCCATTTTCTTGCTATACAGCGCTGCGCTAGTTTAACGGACAATTGTGCGGTCATGCAATATGGTACATAAATGAAATTAAAATCCTTTTTTTCCTCACAAATTGAGCTTTCTTTCGGTGGTATTTGATCACCTGTGCGTTTTTTATTTTTTGCGCTAAAAAAAAAAAAAACTGACAATTTTGAGGAAAAAAACAATATTTTGGACTTTTTGCTATAAAACATGTCCAGTAAAAAAAATGTAAAAATCAAATTTTGTCATAAATTTCTGCCAAAATGTATTCTGCGACATGTCTTTGCTACAAAAAAAACCCCAATACGTGTAAATTAATTGGTTTACATGAACATTTTAGCGTTTACAAATGGCGGGAAAGATACTGGGATTTTAAATTTTTTTTTTTATACTAACAATGGCGGCGATCAGCGACTTATGGCGTCGATCAGCGACTTATGGCGGGACTGCGGCGGACATTCTGACACTGGGGGGGACTGACTTGGGGTCGCTGACATCCCCAGTGACACCAATACAGTGATCAGTGCACAAAAAACACTGACACTGTAATAATGGCACTGGGGAGGAAAGGGTTAACTTTATTATTCAGTGAAAGGGTTAACTGTGTGAGGGGGGTGTTTTACTAGGGGGCGGGGGTGTGTGTACTGGATGGAGACACACTGATCCGGACAGATAAACTCTTCTGTCCCGATCAGCGTGTCAGGAGCTGTCAGGGAACTGACAGAAAGCACAGTTACTGCAGCTGTGCTCTCTGTCACTGATTGCCGCTAATCGCCAGGACATAGCCGGTAACGACCGGCTGTGACCCGGCGACTGACATCCGCGGCCCTGATCGGCGGGACAGGTAGGGCGGCGGCGCTTCGTGCGCGCCCCCTACCTGTTTTGAAAACACATGTTTTAAAACGTGGTTTTGCCCAGCCATGCCGCCCTGCCGCCGTATTTCTACAGTGGCTGGGCGGCATGTGGTTAAAGACGTTCAGTTACACAATAGTACAAAATAACCTCAGAGGTTTATAATCATCTATTAGATTGTAAGCTCCAAGGAGCAGGACCCTCTTAACTCTCTTGTATTGAACTGTATTGTTGCTGTATTGTCTCCCGTTATATTCTAAAGCGCTGAGCAAACTGTTGGCGCTATATAAATCCTGTATAATAATATCTGATCATAAACCCAGGATGTTGTCGAGGCTGGAAATGAGCCTAGATCTACACTTTTCTTTGAGCAGGCTATATATAAAAATGAACCAGGCTGAAGCAGGTGTAATATCGTATACATATACTACAGGTTGAGGAATCTACAAATTTCTATATGAAATATAAGTAAGAAATATTGAACAGCAAATAGTGAAATTCTCATCAACATCTTCAACTAACGAACTCAATAATAATCCGGGGTGTATACTCAGTGAAGACACCCTAGAATTTAGCTGTAGATAGGCATTTATATCTGCAGCTATGCCTCAAGCTGAAGTTCTGGTTAGTTGTTACTTCTGGTAGAGAATGTACTGCTTGGAATCACTTCTTAGCTAATAAAGTAATCTTCAGGCTGTTCATACAGTTTGTCCAAATTTTTAACAAGGAATCTGTTCAAAGTGTCTGAGCTGTTGAATGGATTAGGCCTCTGCAAGCCATCACGCTGACTGACACATGACAAATAATAAACAAAAGGCTGAAGGTAAGTATGCTCCAATCTTATCAGACATGGAAATTGAGTCAAAGGTCATGCTCTGCTGTGCTCTCTATTCAGTCGCATTGCCTTTATAGCAATTAAAACTTGCCAGAGGTCCCAAACCTTCAGGATACTATAGGAAACAAAATATATATGTATAGCTAAAGCTATAACTGCTTACATTACTTTATGTATACAATAAAACAAAACAAATCAATAGCTGAGGTTATTTTATTTTGACAGCTGGCCAGTCAGCTGTCAAAATACTTGAACAGTGCCTGCATCTCATTGGATGCAGTAGCTGTTTGGCTGACAATTTTCCGGACGACCCCTTTGATTGAAGGATGTCAGGCTGGAAGGGATTTTTCATCTGGTTCATCAGGAGAAAGGCCAGCAAATTGCTTTGTAAATTTAACTTTTCATGCATTTTGTTAATACATTGTCCTTTTTGTTGTATATGCAGTAATATATTCCATAATATAGTGTATATGTAACATAATAATTATAGGCTAGATCAGCCTTTCTCAACCTTTTTCAACACAGAGGAGCCCCTGAAAAAAACTTTCTGGTCTCAGGCAACTCCTGCAAAAAATTACTATGTCTAAAACTCATGATACAATAGTGTGATGGTCAGTGGGAAGGATGCTCCTTACATTTGTGTCATTGGGAAGAATTACACCTTTACAGATAGCTAAAAAAATAATTGGTATCAGTAGAAATGTATCTAAGAGTCAGAAATTTCTCATTGCTCAAGGAACCCCTAGCAACCTCTGGAGGAACCCTGGTTGAGAAACCCTGTGCTAGATGTTTGGTACAGGGTACAGTGCAGGGGTTAAAGGAAACTTATCATGACAAAAATATGTATGGTGCCATTGATGAGCTCTCTATATGAAAATACTAGATGCCTGGCTGTCATTTCTTTGTTCAATGCTTCCAGTTGCTGCCTCAAAACAAGTATGCTGATCAGGAATCAGAAAGCACTAAAGTATATGGGTCGGAGGAATAGCCAGGTAACTAGGAGTCAGCATAAACAGCCCCATATTTCTCATGAACCAGGTTTTCTTTAAAGCCTAAGTTTAGTTTTATATATATATATATATATATATATATATATATATATATATATCAGCCCCCTTCTCCATTCATAGAAGCTGTCCAATGGCTTCCAGAAATGAAAAGTGCTCTATGAGTGTAGCAGGTAGACCTTTCATTTACCTACCCGTCCTCCATTCATAGAGAGCTCTTCATTGCTAAAAGACATAGTACAGCTTATATGAATGGAGGAGGGAGGTGGAAGAAAAGCATGAGAGTATACAGTGTGCAAGTTACAGCAGTTTACGCGTTTTGGTAAAAAACCTTATTCATAGCCACGATAAGGTATATATATATATATATATATATATATATATATATATATATACGATTTTGCAGTTCCGAGTAGGGGGTCGCACGTGCGCTGCCACTAGTTGCAGCAAGTGTCAATCACCGGGTCCCGGCCGGCGATTCTGGGCCGACACTTGGTGATCGCCGCTAAAGCTGAGAGGGGAGAGATCTGTGTGTACACAACAAAGATCTCTCTCCTGTCAAATTGGACATGCTGTTTTCTCTCTCTCTCTGCACAGCAGAGAGAAAGTAGAATGTCTCCCTAGTAAAACAGCAAAATACAACACACAGTTAACCCTTTGATCGCCTCACGTTAAACCCTTTCTGCCCAGTGTCATTAGTACAGTGTCATTGCTTTTTATTAGCACTGATCACTGTATTAGTGTCATTGGGATGTCAGTGGCCGTTAGTTCCCAAACAGTGTCAGAATGCCCACTGCAGTCCCACTATAAGTCTCTGATCGCCACCATTACTGGCATAAACAAATAAATAAATAAATAAAACTTCCAGTAAATATACCACCATTTGTAGTCGCTATAACTTTCACGTAAACCAATTAATTTACACATATTGGGATTTTTTTTGTAGCAAAAACATGTAGCAGAATACATTTTGGCCTAAATCTATGAAGAATTTTTATTTTTTCTATTGGATGTTTTATAGCAAAAAGTGGGGGTTTTTTTTCAAAATTGTTGGCTTTTTTTTTTTAGTGCAAAAAATAAAAAACGCAGAGATGATCAAATGCCATCGAAAGAAAGCTCTAAAATGACAGAAATTTAGTTTATGTACAGCGTTGCATGACCGCACAATATTCAGTTAAGAGTAACGCAGCGCCGTATCACAAAAAAATGGCCTGGTCAGGAAGGGGGGTAAATCTGGAGGGCAAGTGGTTAAAAAAAATTGCCTTTAGTATCACATTAATATTCCCATTTGTCCTACTGTTTCTCAGTTCTGTTTTCGAGTTGCTTATACAATTGTTTGCTTAATTTGGGGTTCTTTCTAGTGGTTCTTTATTGCATGTCAGGAAAACATTTCACCAATGAACTTCAAGCATTGTAAACAATAGAATATCCTTCTTCATTATACACCCCCCTTTGCAATCTTTTGTTTGGCTAATAAACAATGTTTACATTTTGTGGAAGCGTTGTTTGTTGTTGCAGACTTAAGGTCTTTGTGTACTATTGTACATGTACTATTCATGAAAGGATCACATCATTGTTTTATTTAGATTAGGTAATAAAAGCTTGGTTTTCATGTATTCATACATGGAATGATTAAAATGGCAAAGTCCTTCTGTTGGGCCTAATGTGCTGAGAATCTGCTGCTACAAAGAGTGAGAACATCAACAATTTATTTATATATGTTGACTGCATTTATCAATGTACACAACCACTATACATTTTATATTGACCCTCTGTGCCACTGACCACAGGGAGTGAGGTCCCTAAAGATAAGAATTTGAAGGATTTCCTTAAAGTGTTACTAATGCAGGCCATAGACGGGTCGTTTATCGACCGAATTTTCGTCCGCACAAAAAAATTGTCTGATATCCGTTAGTGGGGCAATACCGTCGGCCGTTTTTCACTGATCTTCTCGTTTACTTTTATCGGTCATGCTGCAAAATCACCGCTGCCAGAAACAACCGATTTTTCGTTTATCGGCCGAGGATTCGGCCGAAAAAACGACCCGTCTGTGGCCTGCCTAAGCCCAGAACCCTGCATTCACTATATCTGGTCTCCCACAGTACACACAAACATGGAAATGCAATTATTTTAGTAAATATAAACAGCTAAATACCTTTTCTCATCAGCAGTTACAGCAGTCTTGTGACTTCTATCAGTCTCCAGCTGAGCACTGGTTAAAGCTTGTAGGAGGAGTTCCCAATACTCCCCTGATTGTCTTATGTGGCTGCACTGTCTGGATAGTGTTGATTGGCCCTGTGCTGATCACATGCACTCTCCCAAGAAAAAAAAGCCTCTTTAGCCATACACACTGAGCATGTGCACCTTAACTGCAAGGCTCTGTTCTATCAGCAGATGGATTAGGGACAGTAGACAAACCAAACATCCTTTTTACACAGTGCGGAGGATTAAGCTCTTAGGTTCCACAGTGAGTATAACAAGCATGCTTTACTGCATATACAGACTGATCTTACTATTGTGGGTTTAGTAACACTTTAAGCTGACCATAGATGGATCGAATCTCGGCGGGTTCAGCAGGGACCGGCCAAGATTCGATCTGTCTATGGGCAGGCTGATTGTACCCAAGTCGATCCATTGCTTGATTTGGGTACAACCAGCCTGCCAGGTTTTTTTCATGCAATTACTTCTGGTGGCTGTAGCCACCAGTAGTAGTCATTGTGTTCTGCCAGCTAGGAAGGCTCCTAGCCAGCAGAACACAATAGCGCTGCGGGAGGGATTACCCTGACTGTGTTGATGGGGCAGTCAAGCAATTTTCTTTATTGCAGTCCATGTCTGCAGGAAAGAGAATTGCATAATCTATAGCTTGCTTTACCTTGTCAGAGATCCACAAAAGGAACCACAGATTTTACACCAAATGTGGCAGTGGAGGGGGGAGGAGCCAGATAAACGAAGCTTCCACTTTTGGGTGAACCTCCGCTTGCACTAAGCACAGTTGTGATAAGCTGTGTGAATGCATACAGGCAAGCAAGCCTAAAGCCCCGTACACATATGTTCATTCATATTGGATGAATGCTAGTCTCATATCCATAATGAAAATGTTACTAAAGTTACGAACATTCTCGTAGGACAGAATAAAATTCGGAAGTGATGTCATGTATTGTAATGTATTTGTATTGTATTTTCATACAAAAACTGTACTGATGAAACGAAAATTGTATGATCTGGTATTGTACGAGAAGAATTTTCGTGCTTGTCCCTTCGAATAATTTCAGACGAAATCTGTGTACTAACGATCAGCTTGTCGTACGATTGCTTGGAAAGCGGTATATTTTATACGATTTGTTGATTGTGTGTACTAGGCTTTAAGCTGGCTATAGATGGAGCTCAATTCCCCCATCAACACAGTCAGTGTTAATGGTGAAATTCCTCCTGCAAATCCATTGTGTGCTCCTCCCCTCACTGGGAGAACACAGTGATTACTGTTAGCAACTATAGTAGCCACTAGCAATAATCGCACGTAAAATCCGACAGCCTGGTTGGCCAATCAATCAACTTGCGTACATTCAGCCTGCCCATACATGGTTTGAATTCAAACCATGTGTGGCTAGCTTAACCGCTTCCCATCCGCCCTATAGCAGTAACACTGCTACAGGTACGCAGAAGCTATGTATATATATGTGATTTTTAAGTTCTAGGTAGGGGGTGTGCACAAGCCACGCAATCATTCTACCCGCGACGCCATTCACGGCCTCAGCTGTCAATCACCCGGTCCCAGCTGGTGATTACTCGCTGGCACCCAGTGATTGCTGAGTATTACAGATGGGGCAGAGAACTGTAAACAATACAATTCTCTCCTCTGCCAGCTCCTGCACACTGCTTTGTATGGATCTGCACAGCAGAGCCTTGCAAAGCAGTGTGCATACAGTTGAAAGCACATACACACTCTTTGATTGCCCCTCATGTTGATCCCTTCCTGCCCAGCGCCATTAGTACAGTGTCAGTGCTTTTTATTAGCACTGATCACTGTATTGATGTTACTGGGGATGTCAGTGACACCACGTCAGTCCCCCCCAGTATCAGAATGTCCGCCGCAGTCCCTCTGTAAGTCGCTGATCGGCACCATTACTAGTGAAAAGAAAAAAATCCAGTATATATACCACCAATTGTAAATGATATAACTTTCACGTAAACCAATTAATTTACACATATTGGAATTTTTTTTTTAAGAAAAGACATGTAGCAGAATACAATAATAAATTGCCCTAAATTTATGACGAAGTTAAATTTTTTTACTGGACATGTTTGATAGCAAAAAAGTGAAAAAAAAAATTTTTTTCTCAAAATTGTTGGCTTTTTTTGTTTATAGTGCAAAAAATAAAAACCGTACAGGCGATCAAATACCACCAAAAGAAAACTCAATTTGTTGGAAAAAAAAGAACGTAAATTTCATTTGGTTGTAGCATTGCATGACCGCGCAATTGTCAGTTAAAGTAACACAGCGCCGTAACGCAAAAAATGGCCTGGTCAGGAAAAGGGGTAAATCCTCTGGAGGGCAAGTGGTTAAAAAAGTGAGTAATAGCATTTATTTCCAGACACTGGTAAATACTGCCAGTGAATAGAAAAGAAACAGTTGATTTTAGCAAGTCTGAATCTGGTTATACACACAAAGAAATCTATAGATTATTATTATTATTATATAGTATATAAAGCGCCAATAGTTCGCTCAGCGATGTACATTACAATGGAGGACAGAACAATAACAATACAATACAATGCAAAACATGAGGGGATCGAGGGCCCTGCTCTATCGAGCTTGCATTCAAGGAGGGAGGGGATGGTGGCACAGGAGGAGAAAGCTGTGGGGGATGGAGTGGTAGGAAGAGTGGAGGAGGTTGGCAAGTTAGCAGGGGGTGGGGTAGGCTTCCCTGAAGAGGTGGGTTTTCAGGATGCGCCTAAAGGAGAGGAGAGTAGGTGATAATCTGATGGGTTGGGGCAGGGAGTTCCAGAGGATGGATGACACCCTGGAGAAGTCCTGGAGGCGGGCATGGGAGGAGGAGACCAGGGAACTAGAGAGAAGGAGGTCTTGTGAGGAGCAGAGTGTGCGTGCTGGGTGGTACTTGGATATTAGGTCGGTGATGTAGTTCAGGGCAGTATGGTGGACAGCTTTGTACGTCAGTGTTAGGATTTTGAATTTGATCCGTTGTGCAATCGGAAGCCAGTGGAGGGATTGGCAGAGGGGGGTGGCAGAAACGGAGCGGTTGGAAAGGTGAATGAGTCTGGCAGCCATATTCAGGATCAACTGAAGCGGGGATAGCCAGTGGCGAGGCAGGCCAGTGAGGAGGGAGTTGCAGTAGTCGAGTCGTGATATGATGAGGGAGTGGATGAGCTGTTTAGTGGTTTCTGGGGTTAGGAACGTGCGGATTTTGGCGATGTTGTGGAGGTGGAGTCTGCATAAGTTTGTTAAAGATTGGACTTGGGGCTGGAAGGATAGGTTGGAGTCCAGAATGACACCAAGTACTCTGGCCTGCGGAGCGGTTTGATGGTGGCGTTGTTGGATGTGACGGAGAAGTCAATGGGGGGTGGTGTCCGGGCTGGGGGCAAGACAAGAAACTCAGTTTTGGAGAGGTTCAGTTTAAGGAAGTGGAGCGACATCCAGTCTGATATGTCGCTCAGTAGGTGTGTGATTCGGGCAGAGACTGAGGGGGTGAGGTGGGGGGTTGAGAGATAGATTTGTGTGTCGTCGGCATAGAGGTGGTAGTTGAAGCCGTGAGAGTGTATGAGTTGGTCAAGGGAGGAGGTGTAGATGGAGAAGAGAAGGGGCCCAAGGATGGAGCTTTCTCTTTCCATACTAAACTGTGTGGGCGCTTCCTATTATATTCTGACAGCTGACACCAAATCAGAATACCCAAAATTGCTCATTTAAAGGGATAGTTCACCTTCACCAAAGAACTGCCTATACAGTTAAGAGGCGTGTGTGGATAAAAACAAACTGTATGTCTGTGACTAAAGTTGAATAATGCTCTTGGTATAGGTGTAGGCCATTTACGTACCTCATGGAGCCTGACTGGAATACTCCCAGGACGTTGCTAAGTGAGGCCTAGTCATTACTGCTCACCTCACCATCACAGGACATCCCTTATCTCCGTAGGTAGTTTTTTCGTAAAGGTGAACTAACCCTTTAAAACAACATTTTTTAAAACTATGTATCCATTTACATCACATTAACACCTTCCCACCTGGCCTATAGTAGATTGATGACCGGGCGGGACACTCGCCATTGTGACTGGGCGTCATATGACGTCCTGTCAAAACGAGCCGCTCAGCAGGGCCGCGCAGCAGCATGATCTGTCACCGGCTATGTCGGTGACATATCACTACACCAGCCCGCTGCCAGTGTCATGTGACCACTGTGACCAATCACAGTGGATCACATGGAAATTGTATACAATGGATGGCTTCCTGTCATGCCATCCTTTGTATACTATTATGTTGTTAGCTGTGACTGGTCAAGGCAGTCATATGATACAGACAGGGCCAATCACAGCCCATCTGTGTCATGTGATCAGCTTTGCCCAATCACAGCTAATCACAACAAAAGACTGAATGAAGCAGTTTCATTCAGTAACAATGATTGCAAATATAAATGAAATACATTGGTATTAGCAATCATAATGTGTTAAAAAAAAATCCTGAGCACTTGCCCAGAGTAGCTCAATGTTACTATGGTAACATTGTATTGCTTTGGTCACAGTGTGCTACAAAATGAAATAGTAAAAAAAAAAAGAAAACATTTAATAAAAAAATAATAGAAACATTTGAAAAAAAATACAAATTCAATTATTGTGATCACCAAAGAAATGTAGCAGAATACATTTTGACCTAAATTTATGAAGAAATGTTGTTTATTTTCAAAATTTATATAACAGAAATGAAGAAAAGTGTTTTTTTTTTTCAAAAGTTTCAAGTTTTTTATCTAGCAAAAAATAAAAAACTCAGTGGTGATTAAATACCACCAAAGGAAAGCTTTATTTGTGTGAAAAAATTATAAAAATTTCATATGAGTACAGTGTTGCATGACCGCGAAATTGTCATTCAAAGTGCAACAGAGCTGAAATTGGCCCAGTGTCATTAGTACAGTGTCAGTGCTTTTTATTAGCACTGATCACTGTATTAGTGTCACTGGGGATGTCAGTGGCAGTTAGTCAATGTCAGAATGTCACGGTCCCGCTATAAGTTGCTGATCACCGCCATTACTAGTGTAAAAAAAAATGTAATTAACAATTTCAGTATATATACCGTCATTTGTTGATGCTATAACTTTCATGTAAACCAATTAATTTACATGTATTGGGATTTTTTCTTAGCAAAGTCGAAGCAGAATACACTTTGGCCTAAATTTATGAAGAAATTGAATTTAACATTTTTTTTATTGGATATGTCGTATAGCAAAAAGTCAAAAATATAGTTTTTTTTTTTCAAAATTGTCGCTCTTTTTTTGTTTATAGGTCAAAAAAATAATAACCGCACAGACGATCAAATACCACCGAAAGAAAGCTCTA